GGGCAGAGAGCGAGGGAGACACAGAATCCAAAGCAGGCTCCAGGCTCTGAGCTGTCAACACAGAGCGCGACACGGGGCTTGAACTCACGGACTGCGAGATCCTGACCTGAGCCAAAGATGGACACTTAACTGACTGAGCCACCCAGGCGCCCCTGGAACCTATTTCTTAACTAAAGTTTCATGTTTTAAGAGCCTGATAATAGATAATAGATAATAGATCTATTAAAAAGGGGAGTTTTCTTAAAAATGTATTTAAAAAAAGAGTTTAGGGATGCATGCAGCAGATCTGGGCAAAAAAAAATGAAAATGTAGAAAAAAATGTAAAGGTGCTTTGATTCTCACTGGAAGCAAGTCAACAAGAATAGCGTCCGGACCCTCTCATGAACCCCTTCAGCCTCCCCTAGACCCTTGCCACTCGGTCTGAGCTCAGACTGTCTGGTTCTCACTTGGCAGGAGACTCTTAATCTCTCCCACTTCTCTGTTTGGGCCAGGCTGTTGCCAGCTGTCTTTGAATACAGTGTGGTTTCTGACTCAGGTTCTGTTATGTTTTGCCAGGGTCTTAATTGCTAGTATCTCAGGGGCAGGATAATTGTCTTCCAAGAATTCCTGAGATAGGGATTTTGAATTGCCTGTGACTCACAGGACAGATGACATTCATATGGGCCCACTCCCCTGGATGAGGAGCCATGGACATTCCTGGGCTGGTTAACTAAAATTCCACGACTCCTACTTTTACTCCGCAAAGCATACTGGAATTCAATTGGATAAGAGTGACTTCATCCAAAGAGATAAGCCTGAATCTGCTTTAAATCTTTGTGTGTGTGTGTGTGTGTGTGTGTGTGTGCTCGTAATTCATAACAAAAATGTAGTCCTTTATTATGTAGAATACTTGTTTAAAATGCTTCATCATAACCAAGTATATGAACCGAAGGCAAACATCATATTCATGCTCTCTTGGGACTCAGTCTTCAGAGAGGGCCCAGGGAAACCACTGTATAATCCCCTGCCTTTCCAGGAAGCCTAACCCTAGGAGACGCTGAGTTGCCACCAGACAGTAAAGCATCTGAAGCCGAATTCTCTAGAAAGAGATACAGCACCATCGTAGTTCACTGTGACTTGGGGGAAAACAAACAGGGTAGACTTTATCTGCCTCTGGAGACCCAGTGCTGAATCTCCCGTTTCCTGTTTGCAGAAATCAGTTGTACAGAAGGGCAGTGATTATCTGCTGTGATTAACAAGCTAATGCAAAGCATAACTCACGAATTTAGGGCTAAGTGAGTGAGTGCTGAACTCAAAATGTATTTGCCACTGACTCATGTAAATCGTCAAACCATGAGTTAGTACAAACCCTTAACTTCTATTAATGCAGTTTTTATTAAAGTAGTCTTTGATAAAAAACAAAAATTTAGCACTCTTCTGTCTATCGGGTTCTCAGGAAATTATTATACCTATAAGGTAGGGAAGAATTATTACATGAAAAATATTATAGAAAATCTTTTTTTAAAGCCCAGCTGTTCTTTTATGGATTTGGATATACTACTCTTTAAATCATGTCACTGGAAACAGTATGTTTTACATGCAAGAGACTTCTGATTTAAATGTTTAGCTTTAAAAAGAAAGAACTGTTCATCCTTGTGCTTCAACACTGGTGAGAAAAAGGCCTGGTGTTTAATGAGTTAGACCTTGAGGGCGCCATCTTGCTTTCCATGTGCCACATGAAATTAAAAGTTGAATTTTAGCGACTACAACTTACAAGATGCTGTTGCGTTAATTTAGACAGGAGAGCTTTACTCCTGTTATTCTGATGCATTCGGACTCTTAGAGTGTGATTTTGTGGCCTACAGTATAACCAGAGGAAAGGGAGGTAGAGCTTTGTCACTTGTTCGTTGTGTGGAATGTTCTCTAAAAGGGCCATTTGGGGACTGGTGGTGGGAACGATGCGTTTGAGGGAAAACTCATCCCGTGTAACTGTAAAGCCAAGTATCTACCAGGGTGTGCAAAAAGAGGACAAAACTAACTGCATGCTTGAGGTACATCAGTTAATTATGTTCTTTCGTCTCATTTACAGGCTCAACATGGGAAAAGACATTTCGGCAGATTGGCTTTGAAAGGTAAGCAGCATTTAGCATGGCTTCACTTTTCGGTTCTCCTGTCCTATTTCACTCTAAGTAATTTACTGATGATAGATCAGTGGTCTCGTCACCACTGCTGTAGGGACTCTATGCCCATGAGGAAGTCATCATTTTGCCCCCAGAGCCTCTGTTTCCTTGTAAAATAGCCCTTTGAATGATAAAATCCCTGCCAGCCTGCAGGGTGAACATGGAGATCAGATGGAGGAATTTATATGAAAATGCCTCTTAAATCAGGAAACAGCATCAAACATGAGTTGTCTAATTGGAGAATTATGGGAAGTCGTTTGCTCTTTTCTAGCTTTATCACCGCTCGTGTCCCATTAGTTGTACAGTTTTAGCACAAAGAAATGTACATTGATATTGACACCTTTCCAGTCATCACAATTGTTAGATCTTAGTCGCTGCAAGTTAGAAGCTGAGATCATGTCTCTCCTAGCTAAAAGCACTCCTACACCAGCATCTCCCCAAAAGAAAGCAAAATGGGCTTATTATACCATCAAAGTAGAGGTAGAGTTAATAAGGTTGCTAACCAACCTGCCTTGGAACTGAGTGGCAGCTTGTGTGACAGACGTCTCTCATTTGGTGTCTACTATGGAGCTTCCCAGGTTGGTACAAACTTATTGGAATAGAGGAAAGTGACTTTATTTTATTTTTTACTCTAAAAGAAGATTTTGACTAGTTCTTTTTATCACATTGGAAATGTGTTTTTAGGTGTATTAATCAAGCTGACAGAATGCTTAGAGAAATAATAAAATACTTTAAAATGCACTTCTCCGTTAGCAAGAGACAATAAGAATTGTCAGGCTCACCAGGCTAACTATGGTGGCATTTCCTGTATCATTTGTTATTTGATTCAGAGATTTATTTCTCTCTCCACTTAAACTTCCACCAAAAATCAGCACCATCGCTGTTGGTCTCCCTGTAAATCCTTGTAGTTTATTCTGAAGGTTATTGCACGAGGTTGGCTTGAGATAGGCAGATATCATGGGCCAACTTAAAACAGAGAATAGAAAATCCTGTCATTCTTTCATTTTGTGTGAAGTCTTTTCCCAAAGTATCTTTCTTTCTCTTGATTCTTCTTTCATGTTAATGACAAACACCAAACATAAGCAAAGGGGTGAAAATAATAAATTGAAAGTCATTATCCAGCTTCAGTGGGAAGCTGGATATTTCTTTTGTCTGTTTTCTTTTTCTTGTCTATTTTAGGGAAAACCTCGGACATCGTGTCACTTTTTCCCTACATAAGTCGAGGATACATCTCTGAAAAAAAAAAAAAAAAATGAGTGTTTTCTTCCAGAATCATAATACCATCATACCAAGTGCAAATAACAATAAGTCCATGGTGGGAAGCCTGGGTGACTCAGTTGGTTAATTGACTTCCTGTTCGGGTCATGATCTTGGGGTTCATGAGTTCTAGCCCCGAATTGGGCTCTGCACTGACAGCACAGAGCCTGCTTGGGATTCTCTGTCTCCTCTCTCTCTGCTCCTCCCCAGCTCATACTCTCTCCCTCTCTTTCAAAAATAAATAAACTTAAAAAAAAAAAAAAGCCCTTGGTATCTCAATGCTTCCATTTCCTGATGATCTCAAAAATGCCATCTTAAAGATACTGGTTTGAATCAGGGTGCTATTGAAGCACACACATTCCTGTTTGTTGTTATATCACAGACAACAATTCCCTACCAACTTCATTTTGTTTTCTTCATGTCATTGACTTATCAAGAAACTAGGTCAGTTGTCTTGAAGAATGTCTCACGTTCTGGATTTGTCTGTTTGTGGGATTGTGTCTCTATTCATTCTATTTCATGTCAATTCAGCATGTTCCCTTTCACTCACTGGGAACAACTTCACCTTGGCTTTTTGTCCTTTTGACCCAGGACCATCAGTCTTTTATAGTTTCCGAGTTTCTAGTACAGTTCTATGTACAAGTCCATCCAGTATTCCGGACCCGGAGTCACGCATTCTTCCAAGGAGCCCTACTTTCTTTGTGGAGAGTGGTATTTTGAAATCACAGTCTAAATACTTGGGATGCCCATCATTTCTAGACCATCATTGTTTCCGGGCTGTTTCTTCAATACATGTTAGAGGTAGAAAATACTTTTTTTTAATTAAAAAAATACCCTAAATTCATACATTATTTCCAGATCAAATGTAGCCCTACAGAATTTTTAACTTCTCTGGTACTATATTTGTATTTATTTTATTTTTCACTGAAAAATAAAGTTTTGTTTGGTTCTTAACAAAACTTATTTCATTTTAATGTATATATATAATATATAGTATATATAAAATATTATATAAAATAATTTAAAAATAATACACTAATATTACAATTCATACTAAGAATGTTAAATGAAGTCTTTAAAACTTGCATTGTCTTGGGGTGCCTGGGCGGTTTAGTCGATTAAATGTCCAACTCTTGATTTTGGCTCAGGTCATGAT